TTGAAGTTGATGATGTGTGTGTCTCACCTCCTGCCTAAAATGAACATTTTAATAGCAAAAGAACTTTTATTGTAAAAAAGTTATAAATATTTTTTTATAATCCAACTAGAAAAATTTTATCTTCCTGTTTTGATAATCACCACTGACCAGTTCATCCATGGTCTGACCATGAATGATATATGATTTTGTAAGACATTTTTTATTATGCGCAATAGTGCCACATTTACTAAACTCAGTATTTCAATAACGAATACCTTATGGCAGATTTTAAGTTGAGGTCAGTGGTTGTTACCAAACTTTTAGATTGTATAAAGATAAAATAAGTATGTTTAAATGATTTTGTACATTTACAAGGAGACACCCATTTAGGGTTTAGTAAAGTAATGAGATTTTATTCTTCCATTTTAATATTAACAACCCTATTGTAATTACTCATACAGTTATGTTGTAGGTATAAATATTAGTACATTTTAATTATATTAAGTATAACATTCAATGCTTGGAATATGCTGTTTTACTTATAAATGTCTTAGAGATATTATGATGTGTTTATATTAACATGTAAATGGGTATAATTATGTAAATAAGGGAGATAAATCTACAGTATATATTATAGATCTCTGTAATGTGGACTGTGGAGTTGCCCCTCTTATAAACCAGAAAAGTATGTTATAATTCTTAAAAGAATGGCTGTACAATTTACTGTATGTATATTGTTTTAATTGTATATGTATGTATAGATCAGACTATAATAAAGAATAAATATATATGTCTAAAAAAAAATGGTTCTTCCAACTGCAAAAACGTTCCTGGATCTTATACATGTACTGGTAAGGCACGATGAATAAAGCAGATTCACGCAAAACAAACAAATATTCTCTATGTAATTTTGTTATCAGGGATGTTAAATATGACATTTCTTCTATTGTAATTTCAACAAACAAAAATCATCACAAATAATGATAATTTATTAAATTGTATCATAGTTTGGGGACATTTCTATTGAAAATATGTCAGAGTTAAATCGTATAATTACCCATAAATCTACAATGCGTTCACTGGAATGCAGGTATCCAGTTTCCGCTTTGACTGTTGACTGGCTACATGGATGTCAGATGCTCGTACATTGCTTACATTTTTCTTGGGTTTTGATATTGTGACGACTTGAAAAGTGTTTTATTGTTGACTAAGATACAATAGAGAAATAATATATGACATAGCTTGGTATTTCGATGTTCTTTCTATTACATAAGGTGGCTGATTTGTTCCATGTCCTATTTTCGCTCCGAAGGCGCCGGACGAAAAGTGGCGACTTAGTGGTAATATAATGTTTTCGCCTTTTCGCCTTGCGAAACAAATGTACGATAAATTGGTCACTTTGCCGTATTTTTTGACTGGCAGCTCGGGGAAGGGAAAATACAACATGACACAAATCAGCCATCATATTTACATAATATCATTATCATAGTAAGAGATCAAGATTGTGATTAGAAACTGACTACATGTAATAGGTTAATCAATACTGGTTAAATTGTTAAGGAACTTTGACTAGTTTTCCTATTTTCGTCTTTTTTTCTATTTTTACAGGCAGTTCTGACACTGGTAACGTGTATGTTATCATAGGAGCGGTTGTAGGCTCAGTGTGTTTACTCGTATGTCTCGTGGTTGGTCTTCTAGTTATTATAAGGTAATTTTCTCAAATTGGTAAATGTAATGTTATATCTGAGCGATCCGTGAAATATGCATTCAGTATAAATGCATGTATTATAAAATTATATCAATAATATTTAAAAATCTCACTTTGTTTTGCTTATCATAAGTTTGTTCAGCGTAACTGTCTGCTGATACCATACAATCAGACAGATTGCAAGCTTATTTATCAGGCCATTTCGATTACATGTTTTTAAGCAATTTTAATATTTTATATCAACCATTTGAATGCAGGGCAGTTTTGTCTCATCAAAAAAAGAGATTTGCAGACATCACTTGTTTTGTCTTGATTGACATGTCGGAGTTTGCTGAAAAGCTAAATGTATATCAAGTTTATTTGCTGAATAGGTAGTTAGAATACATATAAATATACATATATAACAAAGTTTAAATTGATGTATATGTACTTAAATATATATTGTAGGAAATCCCGGAAGTGTACAACCTCAGTCGCTAGTCAACATCATCAGGAAGACAGGGAACAAGAGCATCATTAACAGTGAAGCAGGGACAACTGTAAACAATATCTAAATGAAGAACATCAATAACTCAAATAAAGTATTATTATAAACAGTACTGAAGAAAAAAATTCTGAAGAAGAAGCGTTATAATCAGAGTAGCATTTTAAAACAAACATAATAACAGAGTAATTAGATAAGATATGACAATGGTGACAATATCAAAATCTGAAAATTAGTGACCGACCACTGCATCACATTTTGAACTTTTGTATATTTTAAAAGAAAATGGATTTATGAGTTCATCAAAATTCTGCTCTTTAAACATTTTTAATGACACAAGATATTCATAAACGAACACTATTAAGTGTTGAGAATTGTGTACCGCATAAGCCGGTGCTAGGGGGCGTGAGGGTTTTTGCACGTATTCATTATCCCTCATGTACAGACTCAATAAAACCGAGTCTGCAATTCTCCTGTAATTTTGTTGTGATAAATGCTTCCAAGGGGTCACTTTGTTTCCCGATTTTTATACTTTTCATTACAATGCATACATTTCAAAATAAGATTCTTTAAACCTGCTTTTATTGCGAGATATAGTCTGTCATGAATTAGAAAAAGTTCTTTCAAAGTGTTAAACATTGTACATGTACTAGGTGGCCATGGTGTCAGAACTTATGAACAGATGAATATGAAGTGTGTCTTCAAGTTCCCTGATCATACTATGTATCGTCTGATTTTATTGAATACATAATAGCACTCATTTAAATATTCGGTCACACTTTGGTTCTGTCCGTGTAGTTTACGAAACTAATGTTTTGAAAAGTCCCACTTGCTTAATATACATGCCACATCCGAAATAACACAGTTGGTTAAGTGATTACCTAATATATAAGAGGTCTGTGGCCCTGATTTAGATCTATTATTTGTTTACATTTGTAGTGCATTTAAATGAAAATGGCCAAATGCTTGCAAAAGTGTCCCCACAGATATGAAACAACTTAGAGGCACTATTTTGTCTCGATTTGTATTGTATTGTATTTTATGGTATTGAAATGACATTTATTGATTTTAATCCGAATGAATTTTAAATAATATCTCTTAAGCCATGTTGTTTCCAAAGAATATAGACTTTACCAAACTAAGTGCAACATAATTATATCAAAACAAAAAAACGAACAACATAAACAAACATCTCAGCTAAAATATTAATATTAAAATAAATAGACCAACGTGGTCTCAATCTTACAACACGTAGGACAAATATTTATATATGATAAACCCGTAGTTTACTCTATAGCGCTAAAACGCACATCTTGCTGCGTATATCACACAAAAAGTACCGACAATCTATCGAAGATTAATATATTTAATATATTGTGTGCATTTACAGTGAAATCAGCAGGCAATTGACAAGTTAATAAAATCAAATAATTTGTTTTCTTAAAATTATACGAGATCAAAGTAACAATATTAAAAATCTTAATGTTCCAATGTTTAATGTCATAACAAAATTGGAAATTTACTTCTTCAGTTTTAAGTAAGCAAAATACATATGTAAATCTACATATCGTATAGTATAAATCTATATATTTAGTTCTTTACGATCACTACATCGTTACACGCGCTTCATCACGAAATCATCACCGGCGACATTTAAAATTCATTTTTTTTTTCAATTTAAACATGGATAGATATACAAATTTGAATATACAATTAGATGTTTTATAATCTTGGTTACTTTGCATTTGTGTGTGTAATTGCGTTTATTTATACTCGCCACTGGGGCGAGTCCTCCAGGAAAGTATTATTGAAGGATAGTGCAATTACAGATACAGAAAGATGTCCCAATTCCAGAAACTTCTCCTGGTTCTTTAGTGTGCCAAGTGTTTAAGCACCCATACACGGGACCCCGATTTAAAGTCTCATCCGAAAGACTGATTAGTAATTTTAGTTGGCCAGCCCGGAAAACGAACCCACAATGTCAAGATTACAAGTTTCGCGCTCTAACCAATTGAGCAATGCGGGATGGCTTGTTACTTTGCATGAGCGACTTACCCATTAAATTGTGGTTAGGTGTGGTTGAGGCGGGAATCTAAAACGGTACAACCAATTGTTGATTTAAAGTGCAATAATACACATCGTTTGAGAGCCAAAACAATAACTGATATGACTATGATCTGGCTAGACACAAAAGTTAATCACATACACTTTGACAAAGGGTCATTACAGGCAGGGTCCATTTATAAGTGTGTTACTTTCTTAAGGGTCGAAATAGATCTTTAACTTGGTGGACTCAAATGACTTAGGGTCCGAAATAAGTCTTTTAATGACTTAGGGGCCGAAATAGGTCTTTAAATGACTTTGGACCCCAAAGAAATAGGTCTTTAACTTAGATGTCTCAAAAATACACATTTAGGACTGGGTAGTTATACACAGACTTCAAATATATTTGGTTTCCATACCTGTGAAATAAGATAAAACAGTATCCAAGCAAACGAAACTATCATTCTTACACATTTTTCATAACTATTGTACATTATTGTATAAAAAGATCAATGTGGTTGTATCTATACAGGAAACGGTAATTTACGTTTTGACGTAAAAGGGCCTTTTAAAAACACCTATATATTAATATGTTTATTAGCTAAATAGATGTCTTATCTTTGTTTCATACTGAGATACTGTAAATATAACGTAAATAAAGAAATATTCTCATATCAATTATTATGATTAAACACGTATCACAAAATAAAATTACATTTGACTTTAATGATGTCATTGGAAGGGTGATCGAATGAATAAAAGGTTTCGAAACACAACTTGGGCAAATTTGTTTGAAAAATAATATTCATTTGACGGAAGATAGATCAAAGACACAATGAAAGTATTTTATGTGGCAGGATTTTATTTACTATTGAAGGTAAAGTTCAGTTCTTATAAGCAATAATAACTTCTTGTCAAATTATTTACTAGAATGTGCACAGAAACAAAATTTGCAAAAAAAAACACACACAAAAAACAACACAATTACGGTGTTGTTTTACCACATGGTCGCGTTTTAAACACCTATGTACGACTACAAAATACCATGCGCCTGAAAAAAAAAACGTTCCGATCGATATGCAATTTTTCTTTCATAAACGTTAACTCTAATTAGTACATTGATGTTCCATATATTCGACGTTACGATACGAATATTTCAATTTCATCGCATCTGTTGAGCACCCATCAGTTTTTCATTCACATTTTTTTTTGTCATGGAACAATATAAGTAAAGAACATGCGTTGTCTTAACTGCACATAGTATAAGATTCGAGCTTCAATTTATTTTAAGTTAACTTGCATACGAGACTCAGAAAGATATTTAACATTTTAAAATTAAAAAACTCGAAAATACTCGAAAATGAATGTTCAAGTTATTTACTTTATTTTCACAACGCGGTGTTGGATCTGATAAAATGAAATTAATATTTTCTTTTAAAGCGTTAGATCTACTTATTTGAATTTGACAATTTTAAGAATAAATGCTTTGAATCCATCCATATTATTTCAAATACTCAAGAGGGTAAGTATTTCCTAACAAGATACCGGTAGTAACCAACAAATTTGACAATTAAATTAATGTCTATATTACTGAATAAACCATTCGCTATTTTACCTTTTTACTACGTAAGGACTTCGCGATTGTCTATTGGTTCTCAATTATCTTAATGTTATGAAAGAAACCTTTTTATGTATTGTTTGGTATTAAGATATCATTTACTTGATGAGTATAATAAATGTTTGACAACGACTTCTTTTATTTTGTCTAGGTAACAACTTCATACGTCACCACACCAATTACAACACCATCTTTTGACATCACTAGTTGCGGAAATATTACTTGCTTTAACGATGGTATATGTCGTAACAGAAGCCATGGGGAACAGTTTTGCGTGTGCCACCGTGGATATAAAGTGATTAAATGTTGAGAATAATTGAGATTAAGTTAAATATGTTGCAGAGCATTCTGTCGCTATGATATGTAAATTTCCTTGTTAATTTGTCTTCCTTGTAGTTCATTTAGTTGCTGTAAAAGCATACATATATTTTTTTCATTAAACAAATGTAAAATATAAAATATCGAGAAATAAAATAAGGATAGTAGATTCTTAAGTAAATAATTTATTGAGAACTAATTATATTTTGTTTGTGTGTGTCTGAAAAGAAAACAAGCACATCCTTTCAACGATATACACATTTTGTTAATTATTATTTCCTTACATAAAGATTTCAGGCGATGTCTTCTCGTTTCAGGGATACAATTGTAGTGAAGATGAAGATGAATGCAATTTTGGAGACCCGTGTTTTCACCGCGGACGGTGCCAAAATTATATCGGAAGCTACAAGTATGACTTGACCCTTGTGATATATTTATTACCGTTGTCATAGAAGATTTTATCCGTTTTCCTGTTTTTGTTATTCACCTCAAACACATGTGAGCCGCGTCACGACAAAACCAACATAATGGGTTTGCGACCAGCATGGATTCAGACCAGCCTGCGCATCCAGGCAGTCTGATCAGGATCCATGCTGTTCGCTTACAGACCCTATAACAAGTAGAGAAACTGATAGCGAACAGCATGGATCCTGATCAGACTGCGCGGATGCGCAGGCTGGTCTGGATCCATGCTGGTTGCAAACCCATTATGTTGGTTTTGTCGTGACGCGGCTAATTTATATTTGTTATGAATAGAATAACAAAATTGCATGGTAAAGGTATATTCATAAAAAGGAAACAGATACAAAAAGGTAGATAGTTAGATACTTTTTTTTCTTATATATGATGGAATGTGTGACTCATGTATTTTTTTTATTTTAGATGTGTGTGTTTAAGTGGTTGGTTTGGCGAGGAAGATCATTGCAATATAAAGGACAATTTAACCACTGTACGTGAATGCGACAAAGGATGGTTTGGGGAATGGTGTCAGGATCAGTGTCTTAATGAGTATGGTCATTCTTAAAGTTCAATAGATCATCCCTCAAAGTGTAACAAATTTATGCTAACAAATATATATGTGGATATGGCATTTAATAAGATTGAATATATCTTCTTATTCCTCATCAAATCAAATCATCAAATAAATATTTTTCTCAGTGCATCATATATGAGGTAAATGCTTTAAAGTCCAATGTTTATTATTACGTTTATTTAACTTTATAAAGAAGTTCTAGTTGTTTAAATATGTCTTCATTACTAGATATTGTTCTTTTTTAAGTACAATGTGCCGATCAAACGAGTTTTTTGCACCTTTCGTAATACCGGTAAGCTATTACTAAAACTGTTAAACGTTTACATTAAACCATCATTTATGTATAACTTATCTAAACACAATAACAAGTACATTATTATGAAAACTACATGTATTTAAATAAAAAGTCATAAACATGCAATAAGGTCAGAACATGAATTCAAATATGATTTAAAAGTAGCATTGCTTAATTTATTATTTATTCCCCACTCCCTCCCAACACACACACACTTTGTCATAAGTACTATGGCTCTAAGACGAAAATAGCACTATTATAGGGTCATAAATATTTAGATATTTTTAGTATATACTGCACCGATGTACCAGTAAAGAGAACAGAATACAAGAATGTTATATTGTACATTTTTTTACTAGTATAGTTTTATAAATTTCACATTAACAATAATGATTGAACTAGTTTCTTGTAATCCTTTATTTAGGTTTAGTTTCAACAAGTGGTCATCAATGCCGTTGTGCTCCTGGATGGTTTGGTAGAAATTGTACTATTGACAAAGATGAGTGCAGAACACACCCATGTCCAAAAACTGCGACATGTATTAATACACCGGGTTCGTTTGATTGTCACTGCCTTTCTGCTTGGAAGGGAGTTAACTGTAATATTGATGTGGACGAGTGTTTGACAAATCCTTGTAAACATTCATCAAATTGCACGAATACACTAGGGAGTTACAACTGCACATGCGCAGAAGGATGGACGGGAGATAACTGTGAAGGAGATATTGACGAGTGCGCAATGAATCCATGTAATGGTTCTACCAACTGCGAAAACGTCCCTGGATCTTATACATGTTCAGGTTATGACCTATGTGTTACATTTGTATATACCTTAGTAGTATTTCTAATTTTCTATAATTATTTTACCGTTTAAGGTGGAAAAACTTGAATGATGTGTTTGAAAATTATCAATGTTTCTTTAATATCTATCTCAAATTTTACAAACAATAAATTGTTTATACTGAAAATCTACAAAATTAAAATATTCGTAGTGGCATCTGCCATAATAAATAGAGATATTTTCTGCGTAAACTTGTGTGTTTACTTTATTTATTTTTTGCTCGGAATAATTCATAAAATGGTAGGCCTATTTAATCATTTTCTTAAAAAGAAATTCGACCTTCTCCGGTCTTCAACGGTCACCAGTTTCCAAAGACCTTCTTCTATATTGATCGTTTATTCAATTGTCAACTATATTCCTGATACAAACGTTTATTTATCCCCCCCACCCCCAAATAATGTTGAAAATAGTTAAATGAAATATCTTTATATCATTAAAATGTTCACCGCAGGAAACCATTTTACTTGTATAACTATTATAAGCTGTTTATATATAGACCGGTTTACAGGAATGTGTAAAAGTAACGCAGAATTGTGCAATTTAGTGGCTAAAACGAGCACCGCGATAAGTAAATGGACTAATATTCTTTATTGAACATCAAATTGAAAGAAATGAGTTAGTGCATACGGTTGCTAACAACCTCATCAAAAATATTCCCATGATAATGTTTATTTTTCAAGATTATTCGTAAAAATGACGACCTGACTAGCATATTGATGGCGATTTTAAGTTTCGTGGATATCTCTAAATACAATAACGAACATATAACTTTATGATTTTTTTTATATTCGGTGTACCTGAGACATTTCCAACCTACGCGTGTCATATTACATTATATTTAGCAGATAAAAAGTAATTGAAAGCATTTGTACGAGATAACGCCGAATTCGTGAATGAAGCACTGAAGCAACGGCGGTTATCTCTCATTAAAAGTAGCTAAATCCTAATTTTACCAGCTTCCTTCTTCTGTTATACGACACTTGTAGTTTGACAAATGTCTTGGGTATATAGAATATGAAAAAAAAAAGGTTTTAAATGTTATAAATGTACATATTTAATTGACGAAACACAAAAGACACCTTCAAAACGGTAATAAGGTTGTCTTTCTCACGAATGATCTAAGAAAGTAAAAAAATTCCTGAAAAAAAATGTAATGCTGGTTTAAGTATAATGTAGTAGCAGCCGTATGCGCTAATTCATTTCTTTAAATTTGATTTAGATAAAATATTTTGTTTCGTTTACTTACTGTGTTGTGCGTTTTGGCAATAGCGTTGCACAGATTCGGCGTTACTTTTACGATAATTGCACATTCCTGCGTTACTGGATATATATGATGAATAACATCTAACAAATCCAAAAAAGAAAAAGAAACTGTTACTTAAGCTACACATATACTGTTATCTTTTTTACAAAATCAATACAAAAAGCATTATTATAGCATGTAAATATGAAGAAACTATAGATAAGTAAATTATAAGAAAGAAGAATATATGTAACTAATATGTTCAAAATGCGTCTTCTGTTACAGAAATTACCGACACCGGAAGCGTGTATGTTGTCATTGGATCTGTTGTAGGCTCAGTGTTGATGCTGGGATGCCTCATCGTTGTTCTTATTGTTATCAAAAGGTAATTTACTCAAGTTTATATTGTTTTTAAAAACCTATAAACTGTAAAATATAGATTGGTATCATAAAAGTGCTGTGCATCTGAATGTTATATTTCTCTTGCCGATTAATTGTTTTTTAGCCGGTCATGTCATATCTTGTCTTGTCAAGAGAGTTATCAATTATGTTGAAGACAAATTTTAAATAATTTGCAATTATTTTTTCTTTCATTTATTGTAGGAAGTGTAAACGTAGTGCTTTAGTAGACAATGAACATCATGCAGGTGACCAAACATAACAATAGCAGAAACAGAGTAACAGTGAAATCAGAAAATAGAAGGAAAATAAAAACATTAAGTGTACAGTTGTCAGCTGAAATCAAATCAATTGACTGTCGTATTTTGATTTTTTACCTTTATAATGAATCGCACAATATAAATATTCCCACTGAGGTGTGATTTATTTGAAAAAAATATATTGTTATTGTAATTTATTGTATCCTGTTAAATTGCAATCGTCTTGATTAGCTTCAAGTGATACACTTTTGCTGGGTAGATTTTCTGCGGATTGTCTTTACAAAATACATATGCATTAACTGTACATTCTGTCAATACATTCTAAGGTTAATGACTTGCCAGTGTGTGATATTCTGATGTATTATACTATGTTTGTATTGCCATGAGCCTACACTGTGATATGGATTCCAATTATACACAATTAACAAGAGCAATACAACGCATATATAGCACACTTACTCCTGTAAACTTCGTTACGAATATCTAAAGAAAATATTCCTTACTAATAGGCTATACACCAGGTAATTGAAACGTTCTTAGTGTTATCTCCATCTGTACGCGTGTATCATATTAGTTACAAGTAAAATGGTTTCCTGCGGTGAACATTTTAATGATATAAAGATATTTCATATAACTAAATTATTTTCAACATTTTTTTTTTTTTTTTTTTTTTTGGGGGGGGGGGGGGGGGGGGTAATAAATAAACGTTTGTATCAGGAATATAGTTGACAATTGAATAAACGATCAATATAGAAGGTTTTTGGAAACAGGTGACCCTTGAAGACCGGAGAAGGTCGAACATAAAACAATTATTTCTTTTTTAAGAAAATGATTAAATAGGCCTACCATTTTATGAATAATTCCAAGCAAAAAATAAATTAAGTAAAAACACAAGTTTACGCAGAAATTATCTCTATTTATTATGGCAGATTCCCCTACGAATATTTTAATTTTGTAAATTTTCAGTATAAACAATTCATTGTTTGTAAAATTTGAGATAGATATTAAAGAAATATTGATCATTTTCAAACACATCATTTAAGTTTTTCCACCTTAAACGGTAAAAATAATTATAGAAAATTAGAAATATCACGTTATAGTTTTTTTGTTCTTAATAAGTTGTAATTCGGACTAATTCCCTATGTACAGATAAATCCGTAACGTACCGGCAAACGGTATTTAGTTAGGTTTTCGAAAAGGTCATTTAACCAATCATGTACGGTTTACAGATCACGTGCTCCTCCATGTACCGAAAACAGGTCACGTGCTCCTCCATGCCTCAAAAGTTAAACGCGTACCAATACCCTGCGCAGGGAATAAAGATTCTTGACAGGTTATATGGCCCTATATAAACGGTTGTTTGTAAATATAACCCGAGCCGTTAGGCGAGGGTTATATTGCAAACAGCCGTTTATATACGGCCATATATCCTGTCAACAATCTTTATAACGAATTTATAATACATCACGCATCATTTTTTAGAGAAAAAAGTAAGATTTCTTCATGAATCGACAGTAGCCGTGTATATAAAACTATATAAACGTCACGATTATCCAATGAAAAGCGACGTTACAAACATGCAGTATTATAAACTTCATTTAACGTCTAATTAGTGAATGGTCATAAATGGTAATATATATTTTTATATGTAAATACTCGATAATATCTTTAAGTAAAAAGAAAAATGTCTTGAGATATGATTTTAATCAGTAAATTGCAATGTTTAGTTTACGTGGGATTCAAACGCACGACTATAAATAGATTGTGATTTCAAATAAGTAATCAAACCACTCAGTCTTGCAAACCCAAATGCTATTTTTCCGTCTATAGGTACAGTCACTCTGTTTTTATGTCAATCCCATAAGGCAAATGTAAACGTCTTAACCTAAAGTTCATTACTATAAGGCTTTTTTCCTGCTATTTAACAGAAATATTAGGATAAGGAAATAAAAATACGAAATATACATCAATTAAATGATATAATATCTGGTTTGCATTTATTATATTTTTTGTTGTTGATGTTGTTTTTTTTTGTTGTTGTTGTTCTTGTGTGTTTTTTCCTTGATGTTGCTTTCAGAAATTCAGCAACATAAGATGGTGTTTAGATTAACCTTTTGACCTTAATTAAATGGTACAGATAATTAATCACATATACATTATTTACGTTGTACAACGTTTACAACGTTTGCAAGTCGTTCGTTACGCTTAGTAACTTTTAATTAAATTCATAACATTTATGTACACATGAATAAAGCAAAAACAGCAGCAACAAGATTTAACGCTTAGACAATAAAATATTGGGAAAAGGACATCTGGGACTGTATGACATTTAATGTTAGATTCTTGGAGTTTATAAGAAGTGTAGGTATGCAGATTTGAGACAAGTAAGTGACAACGTTTATAACAACTGTAACTGATAAATCAGTCTGATTTTTTTTCGATTTTTTTCTCAAGCGTTAACAACACCAAAGTGCTTTACATAATGATATACATGCAAAACATTTTGCAACATTCACCTTTTAAATATAACTACATATTGTATCATAGTTTGGGGACCTTTCTGTTGAAAACGTGTCAGAGTTAATTCGTATACATATACATGCACAGTGCGTTACCTGGAGAGCAGGTATTAGTTATCCGCACTCCAGAGCATGCCCATTGATTGGCTCATTTTTGCTGGGGTTTACATATTGTGACGGAAGAGAAAGGGAAAGCGACAGAAATATCATATTCAGATGCTAGTTCATTGGTTACTTTTTTCCCGGGGTTTCATATTGTGACAACAGGGAACGTGTTTTTATGTTTGACTATGATACAAAAGAGAAAGAACATCAAAACACTCGGCAATCTGATTAATATTCGGGGGCTACGCCCCCTCGTACAAATCAGAGGATGCTCTTTCTATTACTTATTTACAGAAATACTTTGTTGCAAATAAAAAGATTGTATACAATGCATTATTTTGCAACATTTATTTGCAAGATTTTTCAAAGCCATAAAATGGGTCAGGCCCAAATGTCACATATATATTGTTTTAGCGTATCTATTTCTAAAGTTTTGATCTGTATATTTACTATATCAAACACAATTTGATGAGAATCTCTATCCGACAATCAATATTAGATATCTGTTAGCCGTATTCAGACTTTGCAACAATATGGTGCGATTTATGCTTTTAAATCTAAGAAAAAAAAAATTAAAACATAATATGAAAATGTGATATTCCTTAATTTTCGGGTATTATAATCCTATATCCCTAAAATGATGTTTACTCATAATATTATAAGTTTATTCAGGATAAAGTAAAACCTACCCGAGACAAGAGATGGAAGGAGCTTCTAGGATTATGTTTTCAAACAAAGTGATGGCGTTGATGTTTTTGTCAGCCATTTTCCATTCCATGGGGTTTGCAACGCCTGGTTGGTTGTTTATGAAGGTATTTTCTAACATTTTTATTGTGAGCAATACATGCTGGCGAATATTCCATGAGAAACGGTGGATATATTGAATGCTATTGTCATAATATACGAGTATAACTTTTTTCATTTTGTGTCAAATATCGGGCTGAAGTTGATTGCTTGAATATCAATAGAAAATACAATGTATTCTGAATAAAACAATGCAGAAAATGTTTCTTCAGGCATTTTTTTATATTTTGTTTATAAACCCATTTCAGCTAAGCAACGGCACCATTCATACTGGTTTATGGTACGGGGTGCATTGTGATAGCAGTTCTTGCTCTACTAATACCATTTGGAACCTTGACCAATCACATTTTAAGTTCAAAGGTACGTCGTGAAATTTCGTATATATGATATGATATTGATATTGTTTACATTTCACTTTATCAGCATGCGCACCTTAAATCATTTCAGCGGCACGACCCTAATGTGACGCAATAATTATCAGTATAAGTTTTAATGTACCATTCTCTTGAGGAAATATATATATATATATATATATATATATATATATATATATATATATATATATCTTTTATTAAGTAGTAAGCCATTTATGGCCCATGTACATGCAGCAATATAACATTCAATGTTGAAAACAATATGTAATTATATAGGTGTTAACAATATTGTACTGGATATACATATAGGTAATCATATATCAATGACAGATTTATTTCTACATTTCATTTCTATACTAACATACATGTAGGGAGAGACAAAGCGTCTATTTATAGGAAACATGTAAACATAGTTAACATAGTTAGTATAATATTATAACCACATGTGTGCATTTCTTTTTTTTTAACATTTAAACATATAACTAAATTGTTGATAGCAGCAATGTTCTTTTTTCAAATGCATTGTAAGTATAAGCTGCTAACTTCTTTATGTCGACTACATTTGTGGTATTAATCAACTCTACAATTTAATATAATTTGGATGAACCCCAGTAATTTCTATTTATATACTGACGCCTGAGATCAGCGTAAAGTGTACACTCAATAATAAAATGAAATTTCATCCTCTAGTACATTGCAAAATTTACACTTTCTTTGTTCAATTGGTGTGCTTATAGGTTTTCTCCATCTACCTGTTTCAATTTCTAACCTATGGGATGACATTCTCAATCTAGACATTGCCTTTCTATATTTTTCTACATTTAAAACATTTAAGTAATTCTGAAAATTAAAACTAGAAATTGTTCTGTAAAATAATGCTTCTTGATGATTCCTGTAAACTTGCATTCCAGTCCTGTTGGTATGTATCGTACAATCGTGTCTTTAAAATATTCAAAAATATATTGACATCACCAACTCCTTGGTTTAACCAAACATCATAAAATCCTAATCTAGATAATAACCTTTTTACATTGTATACCCAACCTATATGATTAGGATGGGATTCAAGATCACTTTTTAAAACATTGTACATTTTCTTTGCATATTTAACATCATCACTTTGACATAAATTTAACCAGTACCGTATTATATGTAAATATCTATGAGTAATATAAGAGACTCTTCCGGTTTCACCATAAACAAATGCATCTTGACAACTTATTTGAACACCTAATAATCTTTTGCAAAAACTAAGATGCGCTCTTTCTATATGAGTAGCTTTGTGAAATCCCCATACTTCAGGACAATAATTCATTACAGGCGTGACTAATTTATCATACAAATTTAACATATGTTTTAGGTGTGATTGGTGTAAACTTATACAAATATTTATCAAGTTGAAAAGTTGCTTTCAAGCTTGGGCCTGCTAAACATTTTGTCCATTTCATTAAAAACACTCCCTGTCGTAAATATAACACCCAGATATTTAAACTTGCTAACAATTTCTATATTTTCATCATTATAAGTGAATACTAAATTTTCAGGAAGACGTCCAGCTTTTCTAAAAATCATAATTTTTGTTTTCTTAGTATTGACAGTAAGCTTCCATTTAGTACAATATTCCTGTAACACATTTAATGAATTCTGTAAGCCATCTGCAGAATGAGAAAATAATACAATGTCATCCGCATACAATAGTAAACATAGTTTCATGGTACCAATATCAATGCCTTCTATACCTTTATTTATAAATGTATCTTCTATTTCGTTTAAAAACATGCTAAATAGGAAAGGTGATAGACATTCACCTTGACGGACCCCTAAATGACACTCAAAAACTTCACTTAAAGAGTTAAAAACTTTAACTTGTGATTTTACACACTCATACATTGACTTAATCACATTTAAAATGTTCCTCTTATTCCTAATTTAATAAGTTTGTACCAAAAATATCTCTTACCACAAAATCAAAGGCCTTTTTGAAAATCAACAAATGCACAAAAAGTTTATCTTTATTGTTTAACGTATAAGATATAAAGGCTGCTTAAAACAAAAATATTATATACTGTACTCATATTTTTTCGAAAACCGGCCTGCGCCTCTATATAAACATTATAATTTTCGGCCCATGCATTCAACCTGTTATTCAAAATTCTAGTGAACAGTTTACCTAACACACTTAATAGGGTAATACCTCTATAATTACTTGGCTCCCTTAAGTCACCACTTTTAAAAATTGGCACAATAAAACCGTCGCTCCATGCACTTGGAAAATAACCCATATTTAAACATTTATTAAATAATTGGAATAAATACGGTAGTACCGGGTAATATGTCTATACCATGCTTAAAAAATTCATTGAGTAATAGACCGGGTCCTCCACTAGCGCTGTTCTTAAGCTGTTTAACTGCTTTTACAATTTCTAAGTTACTTATCTCTGCGTCTAATTCAGAAAACATTATATATAATGTGGTGGGTTTTTTTTAACCCAGCGTCCAAGGACATGAATGGTGACATGTCTAGGGTCCGTACTCTCAGTGCCTGAAAGGGCGGATGGACCCTCATTAAGCCAATAATACATACACAATTTTTATCGTTCCAACATTACCACGTGTTTGGTGGAAATAAATTATGCATGTTTTTGAAAATATAAAGGTCAAACATCATGAATATAGAAAACGATGAATCAATA